AGGCTGTGGGTATGATTGTCTATACAGATGTCTGATTGTCTATCGGACTGATTGTCTGATGTCTATATGTCTATAACCCTAGCAAGACCGTTTCGTGAAGCTAGCAAGACGGTAACGTTTTTATATAACTTCACATAAATGTTTATACTATATGTTAATTCGGGTGGCACTCCGGCAGCCCATGTTTATACTATGTTAACTCAGGTTTCCCAGCAGCGGCAAGCGATGGTAGAAAATTATGAAATATTGCTCTAAAAAGCGACAGATCTACTTGTCCTCCGTGGAAATGGACAAGTACAGACAAACGGATAGCCCTTATTTCGAACACTGGGATGGTATCGGGAACCTTGTCGAAGAAATTTTCGTTGGGATCGTTATGAAAGTTGCCACGAGATGGCGCGTACGTTTGAACGTCTTAAGATTAAAGATGGAAGTTTCCAGCTTTCATCGTACATAGTATAGCAACAACTATTTGCAAGACAGAGTAGGTAAGCACTCATCCATTTACCTACGCAAGCCTACAGGCTGAAATAGAGCTGCCACCTGTAACTAATTAACGCAGGCAAAAACTACACCATACTATCACCACCACATGCACTGGCAGTGGCATAATTAAGTTACATGTAACACACTGAATGCCATAGAAATTATACGATTTAAGGAGCATAAACCTTCTTCAAGCAAATTTAGCTTTTGAAATTTCACTGTGACATTGTATCCTCATACATCCAGGCATGTATAGATTCTACTAGCAAACCCGGCAGTCAAATTCTTTCTAACAGTAAACAAATCCATGTTTAACCCTCCTCTTGAGGGTCAAAAGGTTATCAGACACTTACTCTTCGCACGTCAGTGGAAAGCACATTTCATGGTCCTTTCAATAAAGCCATAAAAATGGTAGGTCACCGCTGAAACAAAAAAGTTTTTCAATCGCTCCGTCACACCATGTCCTCAGAAAATGTCTAAAATCTGCCCTGTGCCCCATTGACCTTTGGCCTGTGAACTCCAATTTCGGCACAGTGATGGCTTTTCCTACCATGATGCTATACACCGACTATTACGAGCCTAGGTCGAGCCGTTTAGATTTGTGCCGCAATTCTGCATTTCCTCCCTATACCTTAAGTTAAGGAGGGAATGGTCTCTCTTCTTTTACACCTCTTGACCTTTGACCTTTGACCCCCCAAAATCGATCATCCTGAGTCCTTTTCACGATCCCCCCCTATATATCATAGCGTCATAGCACACTCGCAGCGGCGAGTGCGGGAGCGTTCGGCGTTAGTTTTTACATCGGTTTTTATGAAGGAAAGTTGATACACAGTGACGCAACAGTGGAACTGTAACAGAGGGGTACGTAGTAAGTCCTATTTGTGAATGTGTGTTCATATATATTATTTTCAGTTTTTACTGACTCTGTCCCAAGTGCCAGTGGCTAAAAACCTGTGACGTTTACCCAATATTGTTAATCGAAATAATTATTATTCCACGAGCCTTCAAATAAACTGCACAACTATATGAGGAAATACCGTTCTTTTGTATATTATAGTATGATATTTTGATTGAAAAATGTCTTATAATTACCTACGTGAATCATTTCCCTAAAAATCATTAAATTGCTTTTGCCTTGAATATCAACTATATAATGACAATGAATAAAATGAACTTGCTAGCTAACAGATCTTTGGCGAAATGTAAACTGACTAGAAATCTATCAGATATATATTTTCACTTTAAAAAAATTGGACAGTGAAAAGTACACTTTGCAAATGATCACGTATGCAGTAACAGCTGTTTGACACTATACATTTCGCACGAGTAATAAAATGCAAACAACGAATTTTCTTAGTATCAACAATTGATAGTGTCTACAAAACTGATTGGGTGATCAAAAAATATCACATTTGATTACGACAGCACCAAATTGTTAGGCATAACGCTTATAAACTGCCTACATCGGTAATGATAAATGTGTCAACCAACATTATCAACGTACTGTTTGATATTAAATCTAGCAGAGACTCAACGTTGTCCTTCAACTAATCTTCTACTTCCTAATTAACGCTCACTAAAAAGATATTATCAGTGATACACACATCAGTAATTATAAGGCACGATTATCTATTTGAGCATCGTCATGGTAACAGCAGAAAGAGCACGAGCACTAACCACGTGAAGATTTCTCTATCTTTCCCCTACGTAACTTCCTCACCTATATTAACTATATCGCGCGGATATCAATTGTTATGATTTTCATGCATTTACACGTGCTATCAACATATAGCACCAGCAACTCTGCACCGACTGTTCTATTGCGCAGAAAGAGCAGGCAAGACTTTTCCGGTGCACGAGCCAAAACCAACCCTGTAGCCGTTTGCTTGACAATAACCTGCGAAAAACAAATCGTACCTAGATTTAACTGCTGCACAATATTTGCATTGGTTTCAATGGCGGTCCGTTTGGTCGCGTACATATTCCTAAACACATTTTCTATAACATATAAGCGTCGTTAAGCGATCGTTAACTGGTGGTAAATATAACCTGCCTAAAAATAGCGGCTAAAAAAATCTAACAATGTGATATAACGGTTTGCTGTAAAATCACAAGAGACGAACTGATGAAAAATGCTGGCTAAACTCAGTCATTGAGCATTCACAGCAGTTTTAGATCTAATAACTCCAGCATTATCCTCCCCGGGCAGTTATTAAAACCACTGTACAAAAAACACTACATTAAAATCCATCAAATTAATGAAACGTCACACTTTTTCGTCAGCAAACACAACCATTTGGTTGAAAGGTACACACAGCTCTAACGATTATAAATTGCACGTTCTCTCGTCTCTGTTCCCCCATATCGATCAGCTACATAATGGATATGGTGTCACTAAATGCAGAGAAAGATCGGCGGGGAACATGTCAATTTATCCGCGCGTGTACCACGTCCCTCTGCGCTGCTAACGCATGCGATTACTCGCACCTACTCTCTACACCCCATCCCAAGGCTGGAATTATCACTCCATTTCAGAGTTGGCATTTACGTGAGCAGCAGCATCGGTAATTAGTCTGACCCAATTAATTTGACACAATTAATTTGAATGAGCAACTCAGTGCGCTGCCCTGAAGAAGCTATAGCTGTGCGATTCATGTTATCATTTACATCGTTTAGTACGTAGCATCATGATCAGCTCTGCAATTCTGAATCTAAAGTAGTATGAAGAGGTACGTCGTTCAAGTGCAATTAACATTTTTGTCACAGCAATTGTACAGTTAGACCTCGATTATCTGAACGAGACGGGTGGGGAGTATTTTGTTCGGATAACCGATTGTTCGGATAACTGGTGGTCTAGTGGCTTATTAAATATTCTCGGAACCTTGAAATCTTGTTCGGATAATTGATGTTCGGATAACTGAGGTTTGACTGTATATTTATAGCAGCTGGGGCTCTAGCCTATGTTGTGACAGGAGCTTTTTGAACACATTGCTGAGCAACAAAGTATCATAACATCAGGAGTCTATCAATATATATATGAATATTGATAGACTCCTGATAATCTACAATTCAGCGTGCGTGCGTGAAACACACACGAACCAGCCAAGCTTGATCCATCTAGCAACAAGGGACAAGGGGGATGTGTGGCTATAACACAAGTCTTCAAGGACATGGTAAGGATCAAGTCTTAACCCCTGCTAGCATACCTGTCATCGTCACTTCATCGCCATCTTGTAAAAACTTCCTGACCTGCCCATTACCAAGGTCAACCGTTTTAGTACCCTTCCATGACAGTTCGAGCATCGAACCATAGGAATCCGGCGTCTGAAAATAGGACAAGTATAGTACTGGCTAGATGAACCAATCAGAGATTGTAAGATGACTGTTAACTACCTGTTTAAAACATTATTTTTTCTCATAGACTGCTGACAGAAACATGGTAAAGTTATGAGTAAACTTCTCATATGCAGTGTATAGACGTCCGGTCTATGAGAAATACTAGTCAACATTGTGAATAACGTTAAGACTGATTTTGTTTCTAACAATGGGCCTCTATGCTTTTAACTGTTACTGCTAGTCGTCTAAACACAACTTGAAACACGTCTGATTTGCACACATTTCAATTCCTAATCATCAGCTTCTTGGGGGAACTGTTAAACCCCCACTCCTTCTTGCTCTCGACTCTCCACCTTCTCTCTTTCTCTGAACCCATCTCTCTCTCTCTCTCTCTTATCGCGTTCACACGTACCTCAAAACCCAGTTTCGAACGTGTATCGTATGTACTCCGTACGAAACGTGAATAGCACAGCCTTGAGTTATAGAGCGTTCACACATATAATTTGGACTAAATGTATCGCTGTATAAGCTCGACAAGTTGCGCAGTGAGCTTATATTTCAAAATCTGCGCATGTTGCTCCGCCCAGTTATACTGTTATACGAGTTATATAGCTACAGCCCATTGTTCACACGTCCGCTACACGCGTACGAAACGCGTATATACGAAGTACGTACGAAACGCACCTTTTGTGTCAGTATAGCTATACGTGGTCGTTCACACGAGGAAAATTTGGCCTGAGTACGTACGAAAAATGAGTTTTTCAGCTACGTGTGAACGCGGGGTCTGACACACACCCATCTCTCTCGCTCTCGCTCTCTCTCTCCCACACACACACTAGCTCACTCTCTCCCCCTCCCCACACACACTCTCCCACTCTCGCTCTCACTTTCCCACTCTCTCGCTCTCTCTCGCGCGCACTCTCTCTCTCTCTCTCTCTCTCTCGCACACACACTCTCTCTCTCTCTCTCTCTCTCTCCCACACACACTTTCTCTCACTCCCTCTCTCTCCCACACACACTCTCTCTCTCACACACACACACACTCTCTCCCACTCTCTCTCTCACTCCCTCTCTCACTCTCCCACTCTATCTCTCTCTATCTTTCTATCTATCACTCTCTCGCACTCTCCTCATAATCGAGCTGTTGCTATGGTTGCGGACAGTTCTCAGCTAACAAACGACCAACACAAAACTAATTAACGCTCACGCTCATGACACATATTTTGATTATGATACTATAGACGGAGGGAGCCATCACCTCTGCTAAAAGCACCTATTTGTAAGTTTGGGATACCCAAACCACCACGCGCACATCTCAGGGGAGTTCAACGCCTCTAACGAGCGTATTGACGAGTCATTAACGTGCGCAACCGTCGATCATTCGCTCATACGACATGGGAAGCCTGCTACGAGCGGACGGTGGAGACAGGCGAGAGCGAGCTGCAGAAGGAGCGTGCTCACCGGTCCGCTGATGGTGCCGGATGCCATTAAATCACCAGGATTCACGTTGCAGCCGTTGACGGTGTGATGTGCCAGCTGCTGCTCCATTGACCAGTACATGTGCTGCAACAATCCCCACGCATCATTATGTCACCGAGCCAATGATGACAAAGCGAGGTACAAAGGATGTGCGTGCAGTAATGAGGCACACGCTTGAAGATCAGTATATATGCAGAGTAGGATAATGCCTAATGAACAACAACACACACGAGTGTTTATATATGTCAATGGGGTTTTAGTAGTGAAATACTAATTATCGTTAGCAACCTGGGGGAATGCTAATTAACACATCACTAATAAATTGACATAGCACTAATGACGTGTGGGTATGATTATTATCTATTTTCATCGCCATGCTACACGTTGCATGCAGTGTCTAGCAGTACACATGGCAGCTTTACAATGAGACAACCTTACAGAAACTTGATCAAATAAAACATACATATAGACACAATATCAGGAGTAAGATAATATAGATATCTATAATAAGATATCTATAATAATATCTATATAATAGATATCTAGATAATATATCTATATTATCTTACTCCTGACAATATCACAGCAACATGTGCACGCAAAAACTACCACGACACTAAAAACTTATTGCTAAAACGCAACACGTGTGTTTGCAACTTGAAAATTCTAATATTATGTATCAGAACAAGCATGCCAATACATTATACATTAGTTGTATAAACACACTGTGGCTACCCACACGTAAAATAACAACCAGTTAAAAAATGCAGTCTTAATAAATATCAATCGGGAGAATGATAGTTAACCCTTGGTTGACACTGTCACTTTACCTTGAAATTGGACTTGCATACAGTTGTTCCCACAGTGGCATCTTTAGCTATTAAAACAGAGAGGCAACGAATATTAGCCTGAGTTTCCTCAGTTTTTATTATGGAAACCATAAAATATATACGTTTGAGAAAGTGAATTTGAAACAAACACCAAAACCCTCATGAAGAACTGGTTTATACAACACTATATGCTAACACTATACTCATCACAAATAACGCATAAATATGGAAATACCACGAGAATAAGACATGACAGTGTACAATCAGAACAGAAACTAAATTTTAATTGATTAGAACTGGCCATCCTTAAACGGAATGCTACAAATTAAGAGAAGAATTTTTACCATTTTCTTTCGTGAAAAAATGTGGTTAGGCAGACACATCAGCATGCGATGGAGACTATCCTTCTATACCAGGTAGACCATATATGATAACAAGTGCCGCAGAGCGACAGCGCTCATCTAACGTCTACTGCGGTGACTCTGTGGTGGAGTGGTGGGAATTCATAAGCTTAAACCCTGTTAAGTCCCAAAATGCTGTTCAAATACACGCCGAAACAAACTGGAATGCCACAGGATAGTATTCAAGGAACTTCGACAAAGCGATGTTCGTTGGATCGCATTATGAAAGGTTGCACACGAATGATAGGCGCGTTACGATTTAGTGATTTTCAGATTAAAGATGGAAGCGCTCCTATCGTGACGAGTAGCACAACAACTATTTGCAAGAACCAGAAATAGGTAAGCACTCATGCCATTTACTACGCAGCCTAACAGTGCAAAATAGAAGCTGCCACCTGAACAATTAATCAGCAGGCAAAAACTACACAGATAGGACACATACTAATCACCACACATGCCCACTGGCATGGCCACTGGCCTATGCCATGACGTTACATGTAACATACTGACAGATATAGAATAGCAATAGAAATTATAACGATTTAAGCAGAGCATAAACCTTCTTCAACCAAATTATAGCTTTTAGACAATTTCAACGAGGTGACATCATGTAGACCTCAACATCCAGCAGCATGTATAGATTCTAACTAGCAAACCCTAGCAGCTCAAATTCTTAAATCTAACAGACAGTGAAACAAATCCAATGTTTAACCATCCTACTTTTGAGCAGTCAAAAGTTATCCAACACGTTACTCTTCGCATAGTCAAGCAAGAAGGACATTCAGGTCCTATTAAATAAAGGCCCATAAAATGCTAGAGTCACGCCTGAAACAAAAAAGAGATTTTTACAAAATCGCCCGTCAGACCCTGTCCTCAGAAAATGTCTAAATCTGCCCTGTGACCCATTGACCTTGACCTGTGACCACACAATTTCCGACACAGTGAATGGCTTTTCCATACCATAGATTGGCTAATACACCGACTATCACGAGCCATAATAGTCGAGCCATTATAGATTTGTGCCGCCAATTCTGATTTACCTCCCTATAACTTAAGCTTAAGAGAGTGAAATGTTTCCCCTCCTTTTATATAACAACCTACTTGCACCTTTGACTCTAGAACAACCAGCTTCGAGCATCCCAACTCGTTTTGACCATCCCCCCCAACGACCCGAAATAATATCGTGAGCCTACGTCGAAAGCAGGATTAATTTGTGACCCAATGATAGTTGAGAACGAAAATCACGGACGGAACGCACGCACGGACAACGATCAATGCATTCTACAAGCCTGCACCCCCCCCTTCTGATACAGTCAGATATGAGCTTAAAAAGTCTGGCTACAGTAAAATTTGACTGATCACTGCTATATATAGTGACTTGAAATTTGATCTTACTTACAGATCCAGTTGAGACTTCACGTTTGAGTCCTATTCTAGATTGATGTCTACGAAGCAACGCTTATCTTGCTGTATAACAGGAAAAAAGTGGCAAGATCCATAAAACAAAACCACGAGAAAAAACCATGCAAGTTGGAAATATTATCTATACAGAAATTTATTATTTAAGAACCCATCTACACGAACAAACATTAGCTAACCATGGCTACAAAGCTTACACACACCATAAATAAAAGATGAAATAGAAGGTTTAAAACGAAACACGATAGAGACTATATCTAGATAATAAGCGTTGGAAATATACGAAATTAAATATAGGCACTAATAATAGACTTTAAATTGCATTTACTTCAAATAGTAATACGAATAACATATGTTCCATTCAAACCGCAAACTTTGAGAACAATATTAGCATGTGCATACCTGTTAGCGATTTGATTGAACGGCTGAATGTGCCACGGGCATCCATTGCTCACGACCACGGAGAAAATGGTCAGTTCCCAATGCTTCTTAGCGAGGAAAGGCCAAAGGAATATTAACTCCCACTTATTGAATAATCGCGAGCTGTGTGTTGAAAATAATTGATTACACTCGAGATCAATAACTTCATCAGAGTTTTCTCAAGTTGTCAGATTTAAGAGAAAGGTTTAAAAGAAATTAAACAACCGATGAATTAAAGCATGTAGACTATTCTAAACTAGTGAGATAACAGGATTTTAGCCCAAGCACATAATTAAAAAAAACCTTATGAATAATCTATTATTAAATATACTAAAGCGAGATATTTATTATAATTTGTTGGTTTAACAGATCCGGCCGACCCTTTTGTATGATCCTTGCCGCCTATATCTCTAAGAAATATGAATAAAAAATGTAAACTTGCACAAACGTTATAAAATAAAAAGTAAAATAAAATTACAAGTTAAGTGTTGTTTTCATTTAGTTTTCATTAGAAATCACTTTAATATCATGTATAACTAATCAACGATATTTCGACGTGTTTGATCTGACCAAAAACAACATCTTTTTTTTATTTACCCTACCGAGTCAACAACAACAACAAAAATTCCGTGAAAAAAAAAAAAAAGCGTGCTAAATATTAATTAAGCAAAAACATTTCACAAACACAACAGGTAGTGCCAGTACACCTACAGTGTGCGCACCACGTTTGCAAGCACAGCCATATCACGAATATAATGAAACAACTGCTTGCTAACCACAATGACAGTTAAGTCGATACAGTGCCCACAGCTGCAGCTGGATGACACACAGTGTGTAGAAGGGACGCCAAGCCAGATCCAAGTGGACCCAACGCAGATCCAACAATGCTCCTATTATAAATAATTATTTATGCACACGCATCCTTTGCCTCCACTCCTAGACTCTCTATACTCCAATCAACTACTCATCATACTCTCTCCTCTACTGCACTCATCGCATCGTGTCTCTTCTATCATCTACTCCTCTCTTACTACTCCTACTCTCTTATCCTAATCCATCTACATCCTCTTCTCCCGCTCACACACTCTCTTCTCTCCTCTACACTTCTTTCTCTCTCTTCCCTCTCCCTCTACTCTACTCTCCCACCCTAGCATCACTCATTATCACACATCTCTTTCTCGCTCACACGCTCCCTCTCCCCGCTCCCCTCTACCCCTCTACCCCTCATCCCCTCACTCCCTCTCCCCTCTCCCTTCATCCCTCTCCCTCTCCCCATCTCCCTCTTCTCCTCTCATCTCTCATACTCTCTTTCATCTTCTTCTTCTCATCTTCTCTACGCCTCTCGCTCTCTTCCCTCTCCTCTCTCTCTCTCTCTACTCTTTGCTCTCCTCTCACGCTACCACTCTTCCCATCTCCCATCTCACCTCTCATCATCTCTCATCGCCACGCTTCATCCTCTCATCATCTTCTCTCATCATCTCTCTCATTCTCTCTCCTCTCTCTCTCTCTTACTCTCAATCTCCCTCTCCCTTCTACCTCTTCCCTCTCCCTCTCTCTCTCTCTCATCTCGCTCCTCTCTCTCTACTCTCCTCTCCTCATCCTCTCATCTCTCTCCCCTCCCCTCATCCCTCTCTCTTCTCTCCCTCTTCTCGCTCTCTCTCTCTTCTCTCTCTCCCTCTCCTAGCTTCCCCTTTCCCTCTCTCTCTCTCTCTCTCTCTCTCATCTCTCTCTCACTTGTGCATGACTTGCAAATGCCGATAGAAGTACATGCATGATCTGCAGCGATGCAATTGAGCTGACGGTGTCACAGCGTTAATTCCCATCTCTCATCGTCATCAATCCGCGTGCTAGCTTCTCTCTCTCTCTCTCTACTCTACTCTCTCTCTACTCTTTCTCTCTCTCTTCTCTCTATCTCTCGCCACCACACACACACACTCATCTCGCTCGTCATCTCTCTCACTCTTTCTCTCTCTCTCTTTCTCTCTCTGCTCTCTCCCTCATCCTCATCTCTCACTCACTCATCAATCTTCTGCTCTTAGGAACAGTCAACGTCTATCATCTCTCTCTCTCTCTCAATCTCTCCTACATATAGCAAATATAACAGAGCATAAAAGCTGATCACCATCTCAGAATCGTTCAATATGAGCACCATGACCGAAGAAAATTTTCGTCGCCTACTAGACTGAATCGAGATCGAATTCAGCCGAGCTATCGTGCCGCACGAAATAGAGAACGCCGTCTCACCAGCCTCAAAAAAGTCAATTCAGCATTGCATCGGTCAAAAAAGTAAAGATCCCAATACCGGCGGCCTATCGCTGACAAAAGTGAACAACGAGGAACAACGATCATGATAAACATGAGTCTGAACATCGACAGCACATACGATAAACAATGATCGAGCATGCAATGAACAATGAACAGCAACACGAATGAACACACGTAAAAAAAAATAGAACAACGACAGCACACATATTGAACAACAATCAAGCGCTCGATAACATGACAGCACGCAAAATGAACATGTGTCGGAACAACGACAGCACACACAATGAAGATGTGTCAGCACAACGATCAAGATAGCACAACCGAAAATGAATAATGTAAACGCGAACACAGTGTGCCAATAAAAGAACACGTGTTCAAACAATGACAGTGCACACGATGAATTACACTGCACCACATACAAGCCAGATTTTTTAATTAGTTGGGGATATTAGAATAATAATATTAACCCCTCTGTAGGATTTGCTTGATCCTTGACTATGCCCTGACCTTTCCCCAACTCAACAATTTTTTTTCCTCGGCTTGAACCAGAATGCAATGCGTTCATTGATCTTATACCTAATATAATATATATATAATATATATAATATATAATATAAATATATATTCCTAAATTTTATGTTAATGATATCAATAACTGATTATTCACTTTTAAATATTTTATCTTAAGTTTTTTATAAAGTACCCTAGATTAATTTTTAGATTTTGGAAAAAAAAAACATGCCATGATTCCTTATCGTAGAGTGTTATCATATAGGAGTGTATCTATATGTAAAACCAGAGAAAAAAATTAACATTACTGTTAGGTGTGGTCTACCTATGTGTAGTGAGTTTGTATTACAGCTCGGATAAACCTTAGAAGGCTAAAGCGGATCTTCTGATGATCTCATTAAAACTATCCGATGTCTAATCGTTGTCTCATAAAAATGACAAATCGGAAAGATATCGTTCAAACGATACAAATGTGAGTTTGAGAAAGTTAAATAGCACAATTTCAAAAACAACTGTGAACCAAACATAAGAGCAAATGCTTTGAGAAGCCCTCTATCGACTTAGCAATGCCAACATAGCAAACAACTAGCGCAGTGTTCGTTGCCTAGGCGATTTCGGAAAGATTAAACCACGACTTGGTGTTAAATTGATACAATTTACAATAGAAATAAAAAAATTTCACAAGATTATACGTATTTTTATCCATTTTATTTTTTCAATTAACAAATATTGCTTTCATAGACATGTAAATTACTGTCATATCGACATAGAGCCTATAAATAACAACAAGGCAGTGTTTAACTTTCCGAAATCCCTAGCAAACCTCGCTAGTTGTTTGCTATGTTTGCATTGCTAAGCGATAGAGGGCTTTCAAAAGCATTGCCCTTATGTTTCGGTTCACAGTTGTTGGAAATGTGCTATAAATTTCAAAAACCACATTGTACGTTTGAACCGAAATATCTCCAGATTTGTCATTTTTATGAGACCAACGATTAGACACGGATAAAGTTTAATGATTAAGGCAAGACTTGAGCTCAAGTTTATCGAGGTAAACACAATAAATCATAGGTAGACTAAGGCTACTAAATGTTGAATTTTGCCGGTTTTAGTCTGTCTCACTCCTATTGATACACTCCTGATTCCATTGATTTTTAAATGATTGTCTTGCCACAGACTTTGCCTTTGTAGTAAAAACATAACAAGAACGCAATCTATGAAGACGCGAAGTAGAGCAAAACTCACTCTCGTCCGGTCTAGTCTGGCCGTGGGGTCTGTGTAGGTCCGTAGCGGAGACAACGATAGAGGAAGCCCTGCCATGGTATCCAACGGGAAGGTGGAGCCTGAAAGAAGCACACACGTGTGTGAGGAAAACGCATGACCATAGCCACTACACATAGGGACAGTGATTTTCCGCGATCGCAGAAAACGGACGGAAAATACGGAAACGGCCATTGGAAACGCAAAAACGCAAAAAATGTAATTTAAACATATTACAACATGGAAATTTCAATAAAATCACACAAAAACCGTCGACAATAGCATTGGTAATGATATGGTTTACATTCAGACAAGTTTCAGAGCAAAATGACTTACAATTACGACTTTTGGTTGCCCTGTATTTCGGTGCCAACCCAACTGTCCGTCAGTGACCAAATACCTTTTTTCCCCCATGCAAATACATGTAAACGGAATTTTGCATTTTTGGTGTGTACAATCTCTATGGCAAAACGGAATTTCCATTTTGTCTTTACTTTGAAACGGAATTCATGATTTTCCCAAACGGAAAAGAAAATTGTTTGAAACGGAAAATCACTGTCCTTTCAATCGAAGCTTTCAATGGACGCGGCAGCGAGGGGACGCACGGCCCTAGCGAGTTATTTACGCATTTATAGTAGATTTATACCCCAATCTCCATTTCTACCCTAATTGCATGTTCGACGGATAAAGGGGTGGTTGACTAATATTGCCACTACACTGAGTATGACCCTGCAGTGTGTCTCATGAACATATTTACTGGATAGAACGAGTAGATGAGAAAGCATCGCACTCACCAGTTAGGCATTAGCGCATTGTCAATGCCGCGAAACATGGTTCCCACGTTGGTCGCGTGCTCCCTGGATGAGTAGAAATCCGTGTAGTCGCCTAGATGGAGCAAGATAACAATTAGGCGGCGGATGCATAAATATAGGTTGGCAGTTGTGGTTTATGCCACTCTTCTTAGCGCAGTTAAGGAATGAAAATGAAACTGAATCAACCGCGGCTTTACTGACAGAAATCCACCCTACCCCACCGAAGAAAATTGGCTTGCAAACTTGGTACAGTGTTTAGCAGCAGTCAGCAGTGAAAAAAATACACGGGGGCGGCAGGCGAAATCGTCCCCGAAGTTCCAAAAAGAGCTCCCGAAAATGTGATTACGGGGGCGACAGTTAAAAAGAAAACTGTTCGAAATCGCCCCCGAAATTGCACGCCTCAAAGTCAAGGCATTATCATTGGTTACACAAGCCAGCCGCAGCTGCAAAAACTGCTGCAAAACCCGCAATGCCTGTCTCAGCTATGCAGTGGCAATAACTTGCCAGCCAACCGTTCGCGATCGCAATCGCATCATTCCCGCATATTATATGCATGCACACGCAGTGTTTCCCCTGCATTGGCACGGGCGAGGTAGGTGGGCACCTCACTCAAATTCTCAGCCACCACGCAGAAATTTATCCAAAAACACCGCCTCACTGACGAAAATCATTGTTCTTCCATCAATAAACTACACTTTATCGAACTAATATCGAAATAAAGCTCCAAACGTAAAACACAACGCCGCGTACTCATAATACTGTCAACACGCACAGTCGCACACACAATACACGCTAGTCGCAACACAGGCTAACCATACGAACACGTCTACTCGACGAAGTACAAGTAGTTATCCTCCGCACGCAGTGCCGCGGAGGATATTGTTTTCGTGGCCGTTTCGGTTTCGTGGATGTGGCGGTGTGAATGTCTGTGTGTCTGTCCGCTCGATATCTTTGCAACCGTAAGAGGTAAAACTTCAAACTTGGTCCACAGTTGCATCTTATGGGGCGAGAGAACCCTATTGATTCTGAGCCCCTTCCACCCAAGGTCAAGGTCACAGGGTCATTAACTATATTTCGAACACTGATACGTATGTATGCATGCATGTTGTATCACTGCGAATGTGAGTGTTCATATGTTCGTATTTCATAATGCCTTATATGCTAGCAAGTATCAAATCTACATGAACCCTCTTAATGTATTCCCTTCTGTCATGAGTTCTTGGCACTGATAAATCTTCACGAATTACCACTGCATTGCACAAACATTGGCAAAGTTCGTGTAACAGTGTTGACAATGTAATGTGTTATTTTTATGTAGTGCCTATTCTACCCAGCTTGACAACACATGCAATAAACAAATGCATATAAACAGGGTATAGAAAGATGATAGCCACTATCATATTGTAATAGATCCTAGGTAAGCTTTGGGCAGTATTAGCATGTCGTCAACAATGGCATTTCACCGTGAGATGACGCATCAGGTTTCTGTAATAGGCTTGATACCTACAGCGCTGAAACATACGATTATCGCATACACAAAATATGAAGAGAGCGCACTCACCAATGTGGGCAGGAAGATGCATAGTTGCAGCAGACTGCGGAAGCAGAGCTCTATAACATATTGGAAACAAAAATTCAAGAAATAGGCTACAATAAGCGGCAGACGAGATATATCCTCTAACTAACACACAAAACACGTTGCCGTCCACATAGATGACAGAAAGGAACATCTGTGTACGTATTACAGAAACCATGAGCATTTGTTCGCATTAGCTTTCACCAAAGCATCTCGCTACCTCAATGGTTTATGTCCATTGAACTCTTATAGCTATTGCTCACACAGTTTTTGTCGTTTGTGCACCGCAACCTGTGAAATTTATCTGTAAGATAGACAGATGGGATTTTATAGTGGCATGAGGTTGCTAGCTTTACTCTGGTGCTCATAGTATGATTCTACAGTAGGCGTCGACTGAAGCAAATCTTGGTAGTACCTTGTTCAAGGGTAGAATGGTAGACCAGTGAGAGGGGGGCTTGAACACTATAGACTCTTCAGCCTATATTTCCGAATACTACCCACAAAACCACCTCTCCTGTTCGTCGTTCACCTACCTGGCTCGTAGTTCTGGGTCGTCCCTCAGCGTGGCTTCATCTGCAGACAGAAGCTGCTGCAGAGCTGCCCTTGTCTCCTTCCACGCTGCCGAACCCAGTCCCATGAACGCACCCAAGTCATGCTGAAGCATGTTCACAATCTCATCGTTAAACCAATCTTAATTACAAAGTCTCACAGCATCGCAAGCTGACAGAAGCAATTTCATCCTGGTGGCCCGCAATGGACCAAGACTCCAGAACAAGATAGTTAATTACCTATATGGTCACTTTGTGGATTAGGGTGGATACCTAGTTAGTAGTTAATGTACACGTTATAGTCTCTAATGCCACCAATGAATGGCGCTGCACGCACAAACAGTCCTTTGATCAAAATTATTCACGGGACACTCTGATTTTATGGTGAAAATGTTCAAAAACCGTGTCGTACATTTCTATTTATATTATAATGGCGCATTGTGAATGTGTATGGGAAAACTGATTGCGTACAACGCTAGGGAAATGTTTTCAAGAGGTGAATTCTTAGCTAAGGTTTGTTGGATTAAACATAATAAATCGTAGGTAGATTAGTGCTAGTCGGACGGACGGACGGACGATCATGCGATTCTACAAGCTGCATCTGACTACGTCAGATGAGCTAAAAAGTCTGGCTACATAAAATTTGTGGATCACTGCTTAGATAGTGGGAAAAATTTGATCTTACTTACAGATCGTTTAGACTTACGTTTGATCGCTACTTCTAGATTGATGTCATACGAGCAACGCTTATCTTGCTGTATATACGGGAGTGGCAAGGGATCCTAACAAACCACGAGAAAAAACCAGCAAGGTGAAATATTTCTATACAGAATTTATTTTAAGAACCTCTACCACGAACAAACATAGCTAACCTGCTACAAAGCTGCACACACCATAGAATAATGAATAGAGGTTTAAAATGAAACACGATGAACTATATCTAGAAAATAAAGGTTGGAAAATATACGAAATTAATATAGCCTAATATAGACTTTAATTGCTTTATTCAATGTATCGAATAATAAGACATTAATGTTCCATTCAACCTCAAAACTTTGGAAACCTATGTAGCATGTGATTACCTGTTGCGATTGTTGAACGGTGAATGGTGCCAGGGCATCCATTGTCACGACCCACGGAGAAATGGTCGTTCCCATGCTTTTACCGAGGAAAGGCCCAAGAGGAATATACTCCCACTTTTGAATATCGCGAGCTGTGAAAATAATTGATACCCTCGAGATCATAGACTTCAGCAGGTTTTCTCAGTTGTTTCAGATTTAAGAGAATGTTTAAGAATTAAACAACGATGGAATAAAGCCATGTAACTATTTTAAACTGTGGATAACAGATTTTGCCCAGCACCTATTAAAAACCTTATAAATATCATATATTTTAATATACTAAGGCGAGATTTTTTTATTTTGTTGGTTTACAGATCCGCCGACCCTTTTTTATTCCTGCCGACCTTTTCTCTAAGAAATATGAATAAAAAAAATGTAAACTTGCACAAACAGTATATAATAAAAGTAAAAAAAATTACAAGTTAAGTTTTGTTTTCATTTAGTTTTCTTAAAATACTTTAATATCATGTATAACAGTATCACTGTATTTTGACTTGTTTGATCTGACAAAACAACAATTTTTTTTTTTACCCTACCGAGTCAACAACAACAACAACAAAAATTCTGTAAAAAAAAAAAAGGTGGCCTAATATTAATTAAGCAAAAACATTTCCAACACAGCAGGTAGTGCCAGGTACACCTAACAGGTGCGCACACGTTTGCAAGCACAGCATATCACGTATATGAAACAACTGCTTGCTAACACAGTGACAGTTATTCGATAGTGCACAGCTGCAAGCTGACACACAGTGTGTGAGGTACGCCAAGCAGATCCAGTTCCCAACGCAGATCCACAATGCTGCTATTATTAAATATTATTATGGCACACGCTCCTTTGCCCTCCACTCCTGATCTCCTTCTCCATCAACTCTCTCTCTCTCTCTCTCTCACTCTCGCTCTTTCTCTTCTTCCATCTCTCCTCTCTTACTCTCTCTCTCTCTTTCTCTTCTTCCATCTCTCCTCTTACTCCCGCTCACACACTCTTTCTCTCCTCTCCTTCTCTCTCTCTCTTCCCCTCTCCCTCTCTCTACCTCTCCCCCTCTCACTCTCTATCACTCTCTCTTTCTCGCTCACTCACTCTCTCTCTCCCACTCCACTCTCTATCTATCTATCTCTCTCTCTCACACACTACCTCTGCATCTCTCTCTGCTCTCTCTCCCTCTCTCGCCCTCTCCTTCTCCCCCTCTCTCTCACACTCTCTATAATTCTCTCTTTCTCTTTCACTCTCTCTCCCTCTCCCCCCTGCTCTCCGTCACTCTCTCTCACTCTCCTCTCTCCTTCCTCGCTCTCGTCTCTTCTCTCCTAATCCTCTCACACGTCTCTCCCTATCTGCGGTCGCAACTCTCTCCTCCTATCTCTCTCACGCTCGTACTTCTCCCTCTCCCTCTCCCTCCCCTCTCGTCTGCTCGTCACACTCGCTCTCCTCTCTCACTCTCTCTCACTCATGCTCTCTCCTTCTCAGCTCTCTCTCTCTCGTATCTCTCACACTTCTCCCCTATCTCTCGCATCTCTCTCTGCTCCTCTCCTCTCCGCATCCCTCTCCCTCTCCTCTCCTCTCCTCTCCTCTCTCTCTCTCTCACACACACTCCCTCTCCTCTCCGACTCGTCGCCCTCTCTCGCGCTCTCCCTCTCCCCCCTCGTCCCCTCTCCCTCTCCTCTCCCTCTCCCTCTCCCCTCTCACTCTCCCTCATCTCTCTCTTCTCTCTTTCCTCTCTCGTCATCTCTCTCTTCTCTCTCTCTCATCTCTCTGCGCATCCTCCCTCTCTCTCGTCTCTCGTCTCCTCTCTCTCCTCCTCTCGCTCTCCCTCTCTCTCGAGCTCTCTCTCCTCGCTCTCTTTCTCTCTTCTCCGCTCTCCTCCTCTCTCTCTCTCTCTTCTTCTCCCCTCCCGCTTCCTCCCCTTCTCCGCCATCCGCCCCATCTCTCCGCCTTCCTCCGCCCTCTCTCCTCCCCTCGTCTCCTCCCCCCCCCCCCCGCTCCCTCTCGTCCTCCACTCTCGTCGTCTTCTCTCA